CTTGTCAGTGTACAGAAAGAAATATACCATTTCAATAAAAATACAAATTGTAAGAACTGGTGACAAACTTACTTCCTGGTGCCTTGAGCTTTTCAAACGCCACTGTTTTTTCTGTTTGTTTTTTTTTTCACAGCGTTTTCTCTAATGTTTAATAGGAAGTAAAGCAATCAGACACTCTTGCAGTCACTCCTGGGGGAAATTAAGAGTGTACATTTAACCTAACATACGTTTTTGGACAGTGGGAGGTGTCCAGAATGCCCAGCTGAAATCCATGCAGAGGCTTGGAGAACACCATACAGAAAGGTCCGGGTCCCCCTGGGGATTCAAACGAGGAGCCTTCTTGCTGCCTTCATGTCATTGGCTCAAATCTCTCGATCACTCCAATTGAAAATAAACAGTATTTTATGAAGAATCTGCTTTGCAACATGATCAAAGTCATACAACATAAATCTGGACAGGACGGAAGGATTTTTTTAAAAACTGGGTCAGAAGAATTACTGGACAACATATTTTGGAAAAAATAAAGATGTTTGAAAAAAACTTAAATAAGTTGCACTCAGCGACACAAATTAGTCAGCAATGAAATTATACACTCACCGGCCACTTTATTAGGTACCCCATGCTAGTAACGGGTTGGACCCCCTTTTCCTTCAGAACTGCCTCAGTTCTTCGTGGCATAGATTCAACAAGGTGCTGGAAGCATTCCTCAGGGAGTTTGGTCCAAATTGACATGATGGCATCACACAGTTGCCGCAGATTTGTCGGCTGCACATCCATGATGCGAATCTCCCGTTCCACCACATCCCAAAGATGCTCTATTGGATTGAGATCTGGTGACTGTGGAGGCCATTTGAGTACAGTGAACTCATTGTCAAATTCAAGAAACCAATCTGAGATGATTCCAGCTTTATGACATGGCGCATTATCCTGCTGAAAGTAGCCATCAGAATTTGGGTACCTTGTGGTCATAAAGGGATGGACATGGTCAGCAACAATGCTCAGGTAGGCTGTGGTGTTGCAACGATGCTCAATTGGTACCAAGGGGCCCAAAGAGTGCCAAGAAAATATTCCCCACACCATGACACCACCACCAGTGGAGTGGTGGTGTAGTGGTTAGCATAGCTGCCTTCCAAGCAGTTGACCTGGGTTCGATTCCCGGCCAAAACAGCTCCTCCCTACCCTGTAAGTCGCTTTGGATAAAAGCGTCTGCCAAATGCATGAACATGAACATGAACATGAACCACCAGCCTGAACTGTTGATACAAGGCAGGATGGATCCATGCTTTCATGTTGTCAACGCCAAATTCTGACCCTACCATCCGAATGTCGCAGCAGAAATCGAGACTCATCAGAACAGGCAACGTTTTTCCAATCTTCTATTGTCCAATTTCGATGAGCTTGTGCAAATTGTAGCCTCAGTTTCCTGTTCTAAGCTGAAAGGAGTGGCACCCGGTGTGGTCTTCTGCTGCTGTAGCCCATCTGCCTCAAAGTTCAACGTACTGTGCGTTCAGAGATGCTCTTCTGCCCACCTTGGTTGTAACGGGTGGTTATTTGAGTCACTGTTGCCCTTCTATCAGTTCGAACCAGTCTGGCCATTCTCCTCTGACCTCTGGCATCAACAAGGCATTTCCGCCCACAGAACTGCCGCTCACTGGATGTTTTTTCTTTTTCGGACCATTCTCTGTAAACCCTAGAGATGGTTGTGCATGAAAATCCCAGTAGATCAGCAGTTTCTGAAATACTCAGACCAGCCTTTCTGGCACCAACAATCATGCCACGTTCAAAGTCACTCAAATCGCCTTTCTTCCCCATACTGATGCTCGGTTTGAACTGCAGGAGATTGTCTTGAACATGTCTACATGCCTAAATGCACTAAGTTGAAAGAACATAAAAACTTAGAAATTAAGTGTTAACGAGCAGTTGGACCTAATAAAGTGGCCGGTGAGTGTATGTTTTGTTTTTTGTCTCTCAAAAACAAAATGTAGTTATCATTATTGGATGGCCTGTTGGTGCCACATGTTTTTATGTTCTTTCATTCTGACAGTAAAAGGTGTTATGTGGTTCCCTTAAGGGACTTTTACATAAATCAGTGTAAAGAGGTACTCAGAAAGATAGAAAACCAAACAGTGTATATGTTGGGACCTCACATGTGGTTAAAACCCTGAAAAGTCCCCAGGAAGGTGCTTCATGTCCGGTCTGGGAACTTTACTTTGCCTGATTGGCTATTTACAATTAAATAGCTGTTATTGCCGAAAACAGGATATTGCCTGCATTTTTTAAGCGCTGCAAACCCACCAGAAGGGTTGGTCCCCAAAAAGCATGTCTTGGTTTTGTGTCCCCACAATACCATAAATACAAAGATAGGTGTGTGTGTGTGTGTGTGTGCATGGGTCCCATTGGAGTGACTATGGATTCGGTTGGATCTGGTTCTCAGTCTTTTGTCCTCCGGTCCGCTCATGTGCGGTTCCTGGCGATGGGGTGGGTGGGGAGAGCTGAGCTCCTGATTGCTGTGAGAAATGCAGTCATATGGAGCAGAGATGTCCTTCTAAGGGGACAAGGGAAAAAAAGTCAACAAGCCATTTCATTTCGTTCAGAGATCTGAATAATCAGCAGGGAGGAGATTACGGTGACCTCCATCTTAGCATGGCAGAAACATTCAGATGGCCAATATAAACACACACAACAGGCTTCTCTCATTTCCTGATTAGTCAAAGTGGAGTCTGAACTGAT